CCAGACTGGAGTGCAGTGGCCGCTCCCGGCCACCCGCAGCCTCGACCTGCTCGGGCTCCGGCGATCCTTCCACCTCAGCCTTCCAAGTAGCTGGAACTATAGGCACGCGCTACCACGCCCAGCTAATTTTTTGATTTATTGTAGAGATGAGGTCTTGCCTGCCCAGGCGGGTCTCGAACCCGCGGGCTCAGGCAATCCACTCACCTCAGCCTCCCAAAGGCGCGGGATTACCGGCTGAGCCACCGAGCCCGGCTCAGATAATTTCTTTATGACCAGTTTTAGAGTATTCTTTTTAGGTTTTATGGCTGGGTTTGGGGAAAAGGGGCTCTGGTTTCTATGACCCATCTTGGGGAAGAGGGATTCTAGGTTCTAACCTTAAGGAAGCATGAGACTGAGAAAAAGGAGGGCGGGTGAAGCTCAGAGAAAACCTAATGCTTCTGAGGCTGCTCCTGAAGTCTTCATTTTGGGGTACTGTCTTCTGTGCCTCAATACATATATAAATTATAAGCTATCCACATGTAAAAAGGAAAATTAACCTGTTTTTCCCCTCTATTCAACACATAGCACACTTCTGTGACCAGATATATGTGGGGCAAGAGGGTTCTCCCACACACAAACCCAATTCTTAGGCAGATACCAACTGGGTGTCCTATAATTCATTTCAATTCTGACACTATCTACCTGAGATAGTATCAGATCCTATGGGTTGAGGGCTCAGTCCCACAAGACTGCTCTCACTTCAGATACCAATCGCCAAGTCCAGGTCACCTGTACTTCTGACTGGCTACAAACCATCATCTTGCTGCAAAAATTTCCTAATAAGATGATGCTCAATCTTTTTATATAAAAATAATTGGCCTAGGACTCACTACATAGATAGTCTAGTTGCTTCTGAAAACAAGCCATTCAATTGGGTATTAAGCACTCTACACCAGGTGTTGAAGATATAAAGAATTCACAGTATAACGTCAAGTGCTACCAAAGATAAGCACTAAGCACTAAGTGCTATAAAAAAAACCCAGAATGGAAAAACTATAGGGATAACATTTTGAGATATTATCTGATGTTTTTTCTTCCTCTTGCTTGAACTTATAACCCTTCCTATATTTTTAAGACCACCAAGTACAATAAAGTCATAACTCAGTTTTAGCTTCAAATTAGATACTGAAAGGCTTTTCCAAAAACAACATTAAAAAGCATGGTTTTCTACCACTGGAGCCTGGGTTTTGAAGAAAAAAAGATCTTAGGGCAAAAAGCTTAGCATAGACTGAAGAATGTATATTTATATAAGAATAGTTTTTCCTCCAAAAGATATAAAATTACCGACCTAGAATCCTATCTAATGTAAAATATATTTCAAAAACAAAAGTAAAATACAGTAGTACCTCTAATCCTTGGTTTCACCTTCTACAGTTTCAGTTACCCTCAGTTAACTACGGTCCAAAAATACTGAATGGAAAATTCCAGAAATAAACAAGTCATAAGTTTTAAGTTGCTCACTGTTCTGAGTATCATGATAAAATCTCATGCTATCGGCTCCATCCCACCCAGGACGTGAATTGTCCTTTAGCCCAGTGCATCCACACTGAATTGCACTACCATCCTTCAGTCACTTGTTAGCCACCTTTGTTACCTGATAGACTGTTGCAAGTAATGCAGTGATTGTGTGCACATCACCCTTGTTTTGTAGTTATGTAGCAATTCAGACATGCACACAAGTGCTTCCTTTAAGTGAAAAGGTAAAAGTTCTCAATAAGAAGAAAGGATCATATGTTGAGGTTACTAAGATCTACAGTAAGAATTAATCTTCTATCCTTGAAATCATGAAAAAGGAAAAAGAAATTCATGCTAGTTTTGCTGTTGCACCTCCAAGTGCAAAAATCATGGCCACAGTGTAGGGTAAGCACTGAGTTAAATGGGAAAGGCATTAAATATGTGGAAGACAGGAATAGAAACATGTTCTGATAAACAGAACCATGTTCTACTGGGAGCACTGGAACTTATCCCCAAGATCAAGGAGGGACGACTGTGAAACACTTGCTGACATACAAAGCTGAAAGAATGTGGTACTGCCTGCAGCATCCACACTGTAAGAAATGAGAAAAGAATCCTTTAGGCAGAAAGAAAATGACAGCAGATGGAAATACGGATTTACATAAAGGAATGAAGAACACTGTAAGTGGTAATAACTACATGGGTAAATAGATTAGGCTTTTTCTTTTTGTTTAAATCTCTTAAAAATG